GCGGGGAAGGAGCTGATACCAAGGGCTCAAACAGAAAGAAAGTATTTTGAAAATGATGATGGCAACATATGTCCAAATGTGCTGGACACAACGGATGATTGTATGGATTGTGATAAGAGCTGTAAGAGCCCCCAATAAAGTGATTAAAAAAGGGGGGAATAATAGTGGGCAAATGAGGAGAAATATAGGGTCTCTCTATACTGATAAATGGAGAAGTTGGAAATTGTCAAGGATTTTATGTTGCAAGCAATGCCATCGAAGCAGCATTCAAGAGATCAAAACACACGTTGCACTAGTCTGCTGCACAAGACCCCTCTAGAGCACTGAAAGTCAAGGGTGTCCCCTGGAGGACTACGGTGCGCCTGACCCCAGGACTCATGTGCATGTGGAGGTTGACTAAGGAAGACAGAAGAAGAACTGATGCATTTGAATTGTGGTGCCAGAGACTTACATAACCAATCTGTCTCGAAAGAAATACAGCCAGAGTGCTCCTTTGTCTCATGTACTTGGACATGCTGTCAGGAGAGACGGTCCCTGGGGCAGACATCATGTTTGGTAAGGTCGAGGGCACTGAAGGAGGGCAGACTGACAAAGTGGCTGCAGCAGTGGGCTCAAGTGGAGGAGCAAAGGGGAGGATGGCACAAGACTGGATGGAGGGTCTGTTGCACATGGGCCGCCATGAGGGCCGCCCTATGAGAATTTCGTTGGGAAACGTTACCCCAATTGCCTTACCGCCTTGAGCTTGCCTCTTTTTAGGCTTTTGCTCGTTCCCCAAACTCTAAGAACAGTGAAGAGGAACACAACCTGAGTCTGAAAAGGGGTTAAAGAGAGGAAACATTGCCTCCAGAGGAGGACAGACCTAGAGGGAGGCTATGTCAAGAAACAAAAGATTCATATTTTGATGTATTTCTTTAACAACAGTTTCTATGAGTTTGTAGCAAACTTTCTGATTTACCCTCATGAGAGTTCTGTGTGGCCCAGCAAGTGTTCTGGAATTCCCATTCACCGTGAAATTGTCAACAACTTGTAATGAGCCACACAGCTGAGTGCCTTTAACAGGTAAGCATCTTTCTGTTATTGTCTGGCTTCAGGCAAGATCCATCTGCCACTATGATAGTTCACAGTCACAAACACCTCCCGAGTTTCGTTTACAGGGCTTGAAGGCTTAGGACCATGGTCTATTGGGACAACTTGGTCAAGTGGCACAATACGGATCATAAAGTTTATATTAGACACCCTTGTGTGACGAGTAATGGCCGATTGTGAAGAACACGCAGGCTGCCATCTAAGATAGCGACTACTGGCCTCTGCTCAGCCAAAGCTCAAGAGAAGCAGAGACCCAGACTCAGAGAAGGAAGCAGTTCACTGAAGGCTTCCCAGGTGACACCGCACCTCCCGAGA